TGTCTCATACTCTTCACATTTCTTGACACAAGATTGACAACATAGTGTGAAACAAATCCATATATGCTCAAAGAAAGTATTTTCAGTCTATATATACAAGATGTGACTAAGGTTCAGTTTATATAAAAAACTACAAACCAATAAATAAATTGCTGGTTGATGAACAAAAAATGCACGAAGAATATGAAGAGTTAACTTAAAAGAAGTGGGAACCAGAATGTAAAAGAAACCTGTGAAAAGGTGCTCAACGTTACATGTTATTAGGGAAAATGCAAGTTAAAGCCATAGTGAGATTCCATTTACATCCATAAGAATGGCCAAAACCTAAGAAGTTTTATGAGAATTTAAAGGAAATGAGAATCATTATGTAGCACGTGGGAGTGTAAATTTGCAGAACTGCTTTAAATAGTGTTTTAAAGCCTAATGCAGTCTGGCTTGAGCAGTATCAAATTTTCTTTCTCCCTCTTTTCTTCCCACCCTCCTCCTCCCTCCCTGTCAGAGATTATATATGTTATTTCAAAGAGAAATAATTGTTCAGGATTTAACAAAGATTCACAGGGGGTTTACTAGACCTGTAAACCTTTGATTCTATAGAAAACCTTTTTGAAAAATAAGCGGGGTTTTTTTGATGGTTAAGTTCCCAGTCTCACCAGAAGCAGTATATTTAACCCATGATATATTTGAAAGGTAAGGTAGTTGTACTATTTTAAATTGTTTAGTTCATGCTTATAAAATTGATCTGTGATAAAATGTGTAATATAATTCAGCTTTTGAGGATAAAACTACACGTGCCCCATCACTTCCAAACTAAAAGTGAGGATAGAAAAGATACAAACCTATTACCAGTACTAGTGACATGGTAATTCTACTTCTAAAGTAGATACATTAATTTTCTAGCCAGCACTTCCTAGGGATATCGATACTTCAAGATCAGTATTTTTGACCATGAAGATAAGAGGAGATGGAAGAAGAAATTATGAGAACAAGATGGATGTGAAGTACACTTGAACTCTTCGTACAATCACAACTTCTTACTGAGTAGCAACTGTACTAGTCTGCTCCGGCTGCCGTCACACAATACCACAGGCTGTGTGGTAGCGTCTGGAAGGTCAAGATTGAGGTACCTCATGTTGGTTTCCGGTGAGGCCTCATTTCCTGGCTTGCGGCTGGCCACCTTGTGTCCTCCAGGGCCTTTCCTTTGTGTGTGTCCCTCTGGTCCCTTGTGCTCTTCTTAAAAGGACACCCATCTTATTGAATTATGACCCCACCCTTATGACCTCATTTAACCCTAATCACCCCTTTAAAGACCCTTTTCCAAACAGGCACAGTGGGGGTTCCGGCTCTAACATCTAAACTTTGAGGGGGCACATTTCAATCTGTGCTGCCAGTTACATGTCTGCCCTGTTGTAAATTCTGGGGACACATTAGTGTACGAAAGAACGGTTCTTTTTCTCAGTGTTCCAGAGGAGGGTGGCAAACTAAGCATTAATTATAACATGCAAGTAAGTTATGTAATATGTTAGAAGGCGTAAAGTATAGAGAAAAGCAAAAGAGCAGGTGACACAGATGTGGAGGACTAGTATAGGCTTTGGGGTGGGTGGTGACAATTTAAAAAGGGGAATCAGATCAGGCCCTCCCGAGTAGCTGACATTGGGTAGAGCTTTGAAGGATATGAGGCAATCGGCAGTACAGACATCTGCCCTTGTTAAGTCTGGTGTTTATTCAGTCAGGAACAACAGGCCTTATTGAGAAGCTGTGGCAGACCCGATTAAGAGTCAGATAACCTTGGTGCAGGTTCTCACTTTGTGTGATTTGGGGCAAGTCAGTCTCCTCACTGAATTACACAACCAACACCACAGGGTTAATGAAGTCCAGGTGCCAGGATATTTCAGAGCTGATCATTCCTTTTTAAACGAAAAGTGGGAAAACAAACGGCTTCACTGCTGAATTTGAGCTCCTTCATTATCAGGCACGGACAGGCTCTCTCCCCAGCCTCAGAGGCTCATTGTTCCCTTGCTTTCGCCGTGCTGTCGATAGAATAGCACTTTCTTTGGTGTGGAGGATCAGAGTGACCTCATTAATGATATTGATAAATACGTCAGTCAGAGGCCTTCCAAAGGGCTTTTCAGTTGAGTCTAGGGATCGGTTTCTGCTCTGGCTGAGGCAAAGTTGTGGATGGAATCGGCAGTCTTCTTCACTGGTGTTAAATATTAAATAATGAGTGTTTATGGAGCAGGCCTAGAATTGCACTTGACTCTGTAGCTAAGAAAATAAGTGTCAAATTTGGATTACCCTTGTTAATAAAAAATAAAGGTATCAATGATTACGATACAGGAAATCTACAAACTCTTGCCAGGGAAAGGGGGTTACCGGACGACGCCCCTTGGTGAAACAGAAGAAGGGATTCTGAAAGTGAGCAGCAGGGGAAGTTGGGTAGGTTAACCTGGGCGCTGCTAGAACAAGGGAGAAGAACTTTAAGCAATTTATGAATATTCATTTTAACTACAAAGTGGCTAATAAAGGAGTGTTGTCCTTTTTTTTTTAAGTAAAAAAGCACAGGCAGAACTTAATTCCTCAGATTTTCTTATTCCACAAGTAAAGTGCTTCTTCGGGGACAGACCCTGGACTGAGCTCTGCAGCAAATAACACAGAAGCTTACAGTCCAGTCAGCAAGGGAGAGCAGGAACCTGACACGACCCCGTGTGGCAAGGGCAGGGCAGGGTAGCGGGAGCTCTGGGAGCCTAGCAGGAAGCCCCAGCCCAGAGCAGAGAGTGAGTGTGCCAGGTGAGGGTTCCCAGGAGCACGGGGAGCATTCTGGCCCCAATCTTATTGCATATTACTGGAGGAGGTACAATGAGCTACGCCTTCACATTGTCACTCAACAAACATTAATTAAGCGATCTTGGCACGTGAGACCGACCATTTGTGCTGAACTCCAGGGATGAACAAGATGCATTCCAGCTTTCAAGGATTTAGACTCTGACACATGGAAACAGATATAAAAAGCTCAGAGTGTGTCACTGGGTACCAAGGGGAAGTTACATAAATGATGCAGTAGCAGCATGAGTCTCTTCTACTCTTTTGGGGGAGTAGTAGTGCGAGGAAAACGGTTCAGTGCCTGGGAAGATGAGTAGGTGTGCAGAATGTAGGGTGGAGAATCAGGCCATTGAAGCCAGGGGAAACACCGTGACTGAAGGGGAAAGAGTGGGAGTGGCTAGTCTGTAGAACTACAAGTATTCCTATTGGCTGGCCTCAAGGGGGTGTGGAGACAAGGGAGAGAGCTGAAGACTGAGAGCAGACACTAAGCAGGCAAGGCTCTGTGTGCCCTGGGCAGGCATTTGGGTTTATTCCATGGACATGTGGATATTTGTTAGAAATAAGGTAAAGATTTGGGATTAAAGTGGGAAGTATAAATTTAGATTTGGAATCATTCTGGCTACAGTGTGGATAGGCCAGAGTGGGAAGAAACCCCTAGCTACTTGCTAAAAGTGGCTACTTCCTAGCCACTAGTGTGATCCCCAAATGATGAAGGTCTAAATCAAGTCTGTGTAAGTTCGGGAGAAAGAGAGAAATGTGAGAGGAAAAGTAATTTGCAAGACATGATAACTGATTTCATGACAAGGGTATTTCAGGGGCAAAGGGGCAGCACGATTTCCTGTCTTCCAGTTGGTACAGTTCAGGGTAGTAGCCACGCTTTCCCACATGGCATGGATTATTCAGCAGAAGTGAGAATTTAACAAACTCTGAGACCTCGGACATGCAGTGAAGGTGCTCCACTACAGTGTAAATGTTTCATGGCTTTTACATTCCTTGAGTGAGTACCTCATTTTTTGATCATTTTAATCTGCTGTAATGTAATATTGTAGAGATTAATAAAGTAGTGCTTTAACCTAATTTTCCTGATGTATTAAAAGCAAAGGTGTATGGTAATCTTTGGGTTAATCAAAGTCACTTGAAAGTGACCTCTCATATCCGTATGCATATTAAAATAATATTAGATTGCTAATGCTTCAACCTGTACGGTTTGTAATTTTTATTTTTTTCAAAAGAAAACTAGCACCTGTGTGATAGGAACATACGTTAAGATAACAGTTTTACCTGGGTTAAAAAATCATAATTGGTTTCTTTCTATGGCCTAATTCAACTAATTTCACTGGTAGTCCTGGCTTTTTGGATTATTAATTCATTCTAAAACAGAAGGCTATCCTTTATTTTATGTATGATAGTTCAAAGACTGAGTTTTCTACTGGAGGTAAATTTATATGGACTAACTCTATAGAGACAAGTTTTATGATAGTGTCTCACTGACAATGCTCAGTTGACAGAGTAATGGATATTTCAGGCCCTTTTGGCCTGAAGAGTTTTTATTCCGAATCCGTGTTTTAAATGTATAACAAAAGAAAGCAATCTTTAATGGTACCTGCTTGAAATTAGAATGTGATTACTTTAAAACACTATGGAGAGTTTTATTGCCTTAAACTATTTTTAACTGCCATTCTTTTTTAATAGTCTCTATAACTGCATGCTGTTAAGGGAGGAACTAGTAGCAAATTCACTTTGGTTGAGAGTTAGGTGAGGACCTGTGGAAAATTGCAGGAAAAGATCTTGCTTTTTGACCTTGTGATCATTATTAGTTCTTCCTATGCCTTCCCTAAAGCTTGACACGCGTATTCCTGGTGTGACATTTATAGCCTAATTGGACCAACTAGGTCAGGCTAGCAGAACTTTCATTTTATGAAGCTGAATTATTTTTAAGAAAAGACTGGTGAACTCACTGTGGGTGTGAACATAGCTCACATTTGGATACATTTGATGATGTATCTTTCTTGTATTCCTTGAAGCAAACTAGAGACATAGGAACTGTTTCTGACACATACACTGTGACACCTGAAATCTTTGTCCTCCGTGAGCTGAAAGGAAGAACAGTACCTGCGCTCTGAGAGTGTTGTCATTTCTCAGGCGTTTGCCCTAAAAGTACAGCCAAGATGAAGAGACCTTACCCGGCCATACATGCTCTGGTATGCTTCTGCAATCATCAGCCTTTGTGAGTTACAGCGTTGAGTTAGAATGTTGATCAGCATGTCTTTGTCACAGCCTGGAAAAGAATAATAATCGAAGATTAGTGAAGTCACTGCTTTGTAGTGAAGGAGAATCCATTATCTAAGAACTGAAACCAATGTGCAAGCTTCGTCCCTGATGGTACTTCAAAGCAAGGAGCAATTTCAACTAGGATGGGAGGTCCCAGAGCAACCCTTGATGAAGCCAAGGTTCTTCTGTCTCTTGTTTTGGTGCTATTACTGCAGATTTTCTATTTGAATAAAAAATGCAGGTAAGTAGAAACGTAATCCTTCTTCAACCACCTCTCCTTCCCCACAGGAAAAGGCTTCTGTGCCCTGCAAGCTGATTAGTGTTTTATCGGGCACATTATCTTTCTCGTTTTACGGTTGAAGAGTTGTGACTGGTAATGAATATACATTAAGACACAAATATATTAAGACAAAAAAGAACCCCCGGAAGAAGAAAGAGAAATAGAGAAGGAAATTATAAAAGTGTAAGGGGTGTGTACCCTTCTGAGGGGTGGGGTGACTCTTCCATGATTTGCATGAAACATGGTCCGTCTTGTAATAAAGGCTCGATTGTGGGCTAGGAGGTGTTTGGTGTTCATATAGCAGCTCACTGAACTGACATCACACGTGAATGCACAACTAGTTTAAATAAATTGAGCTGTAATTATAGTCATAGTAGAGCATGAGCAAGACCTTAACATTTTCCTTAGCTTGACTAAAATTTGGGTGTCTTCATGACCATACACCTTTGATCTCCCTTTTCTGAGAGCTTTTGTTTTAGAAAACCTGCCATTGTAAATTCTCTTTGTACCCTTTTGAGATGTACATCTTCTCCCAAGCACTTGTCAGTTTTACAACTCAGAAATGTCTTTCTTAAAAACTTGGGATCTATCTCTGTAAAAGATAGCTGTCAAGAAAGGTCTCCCTGTCTCCTAGTCTCTGCTGAAGGGTAGAAACCTAACATAAATACCAATTAACAGATACAGATGGCCTCATCACATTGACCAACACCTCAAACCCCGGTGTCCCCCCCAGTACTTTGCTCTAGCTCACCCCAGGCTTAAATACTCTCTTGTGTTTTGTTTCAAAGGGCTTGAGCTCAATCTCTCATCTCAATTAAAAACAAAAAAATCTCACCCCTACTGCAACAGAATTGAATAAAGTCTTCCTTGCCTGTTCTGTTCTTTGTGGTACAAATTTTCTTTGATGAAAGGAGGCATTTAATGGGGATGAGAAAAAAAGTGAATTGAAAGGCTAGGATGTTGAGCAAATCATCTTCCTGGAAAATGAAAGCCATCCTGGTTGGCGTAGGCTCACGGGAAAGCTGAGTCAGGTACTGACTGTGCCAGTGAGGAAAGGAACAGCAGGGTGTTTTCTGTAGGGGAGAGAAATGGTCTGAAGGCTGTAAAATGGAGGAAGGGAGGCATAGAATCAGCTCCAAAGACCCCAACTGGATGATTTGTGATTAAAAAGGCAGCTTCCAGTGCAGAGGCCTAGAGCAACATGGTGCCGTGGGACTAGTCTGGGGAAAATGCTGGACTTGAAGGACCTTAGGAGTTCTAGAGGAGTCTGTTAGATAATGGGTATGCCAAAATTAACATATTTTAAATAGTAAATGGAAGAATTTCCAGTTATATCCATTGTTATTTTTACTGTCATCACATCTAAGTAATTATTATTTGTTTTTTGTTGTTACACTGTCGTGGTTATCCACTTAATTGATCCACAAGCTACCTCTCTGAATTACTCTTTATTTTTCAAAGCGTTCATACCAATTCTTGCTCATTTATCCTTCCAGAGATATTTCAGAAGAACTTTATTAAATGGACCTTATTAAAAGTACTTTATTAATAACTTTTAATTCTTAAGAACTTTGTTAAAAATTTTAATTAAAGGAATGATAAACTTAGGAATCAATTAATAAGGGTTGTCTTTCCATCACTAACATGATGTACCTGCCGAATTATTTGTTTTTCTTTCCTAAATGACTTAGTAAAGATCTGTAGAATTTTTGAAAATGAAAAGAAACTTAATTTTGTTAAAGCTATCTATTTTTCCTTTCTACTGATATTTCAAATCATATTTTTATTTTGTTTCTTAACACATAGTTGCTTAAATAAATAAATGACATTGAAATTTATGTTTACCTTATATTCAGAAAATTATTGAATGCAGAATTTTTAATAACGTTTAAATTGATTCCCTTGGATTTTGAGATATATAATAATCTCTGTAAATAATATGAATTTTGATTTCTTCTTTAAAATCATTGTATGTTTTTCTCTTTCTTGCCTAATTGCATTTGGACAGGAATCTTTAGATAATTCTTATTTTCTGCTTTAACAGAAAAGCCTGGCACAAGGAACTGTAGCAAATTATAAACTTTTATGATGTACAGTTGATTCCTGTTATTTGTGATCATTTTCTGCAAAGTCACCATGAGCATTGGATTAGTAAATGTATTGCTCCTGGGGACAATATAGGCTTAGGTTTTTATGACCTTGTGGTCACAACATTTTTGTTAGCAGAAATGCTAGTTACATTATATATTTTTGTCCTTGTAAAATAGTCTCATCAGCATTGAAAAATCCTCTTTTCCACATATGCTTTTCCTGTATAAAACTTAGGTGGTGTTTCTAAAGATTACCTTAAGGAGGTATCCTTCTGCACCTTCCTGATCTGCAGGACTTGAAGTTTAACAGTTTTCATGCTGTATCATCTTTTGGAACATGCAATCCAGCCAGCACTACATTCAAAAGAGAGCTGACCATGACACTTTTTATTGTTCCTATCAGTTATCATCTCATGAACTCACAAATTTATCTGCTTTTCCAAGCTTTGTAACATGCATATTCCTTTAGCACATTCTACACAGTCTCATGCACAGGTCAGTAAGTCTTCTCCTTTGTATTTCAATAATCAAAACCAAAAAAAATAACCTCAAATTAGAATACAGTGCTTGCAAACCACATATCTGTTAAGACAATATCTAAAATATATAAGCCTGTCATACAACTCAATAGCAAAATACAAATAATTAGACCAAAAATGGGCAAAAAACCTGAATAGGCATTTTCCCAGAAAATACATACATATAGCCAAAAAGTGCATGAAATGGTGCTCAACATTGGCGCTCATCATGGAAATGCAAATAAAAAGCAGGAGATATCACCTCACACTTGTGAGCCCAGCTGTTACCGAAAAGATGAGAGAGGTAAAAAGGGAATCATTGTGCACTGTTGTTGGGACTGTAAGTCGGTACAGCCAGTATGGAAGACAGTAGAAAGGTTTCTTTAAAAGTAGAATTGGAACCACCATATGATATAGCGATCCTACTTCTAGGTATTTATCTAAATGAAATGAAATCCCTATCTTGTAGCAGTATAACACCCCTGTGCTCCTTGTAGCAATATTCACAATAGCCAAGATATGGAAATCATCTAGGTGTTCATGTACAGGTAAATGCATAAAGAAAATGTGATTTATACATATGTATATGGTGAGGTATTATTCAGTTATAAAAAAGAAGAAAATCCTGCCCTTTGTACAACATGGATGAAAGCATTATGCTAATTGCAATGAGTCAGAGTAAGACAAATGTAGTATCACTTATATGTAAAATCTAAAAAAGCTGAACTCATAGAAATGTTCAGTTGTTGGAGGGTGGGGGAAATGGGAGATGTGGTCAAAGGGTGCAGACTTCCAGTTACAGAGGAACGAGTTATAGGGTGCAAATGCACAGAATGGTGACCTTAGCCAACAGTATGTCTGTATTGCTTACTTGAACGTTGCTAAGAGAGTAAATCTAAATGTCTCACCATAACAAAAAATGGTACTTATGTGAAGTGATTATTGAAATACAAAAGAGAAGACGTACCTGTGCATTGAAGTGTAACACTTTATTGTGTTAATCATTTTGTAACATGTAGGTATATCAAATCATCACATTGTACATTTTAAACGTATATAATGTTATATATCTATTGTATCTTAGTAAAGCTGGAAAAACATCACAGTCATCAAGGAAAACGTTAGTGATTGTCTTTCTCAGCTGCACTTGGCCGGAGCCGTTAGGATGGATACGGTTTTCAGCATTTTGAGCTGTGCCTGTGCTCTGGCAAGCTAGAGTGGGCACCACAGTCAAAACTAAAACTGCCTCAATATCTTCAGTCTAAAACACTGACAAACAAAAAATTACAATGGTTAAAACGAATCTGTATGTTGTCCCTAAAATTACAGTGGCAGGAAAATGAAAACTGGAGCAAAGAAAATTTTATCCAGTGAATAGATTGCTCTGATTTACAGTTTTAAAGCAAAAATTACTCTCCTGAATAAAACGTTCATCCATAACTTTTTGTTATCTTGTCTTTGTATTTTTTCTAGTGATTATTGATATTTTAAAAGGTATGACAGCTTTGCAAACTCCTAAAGTCAACTTTATAGAGCACATTTAAAGTCCTTTATTGTTTTCCTGTGGGTTCTGCTAATGAATAAAACACAAAGTGAATCAAGTTCTCATAAAGGTGACCTTGTCTTTGAAGTTAAGAGCTTGCTTTCTTATGAAAGGCTTTGCATGTTTTATGCTAACGTTTTCTTTATGTTGCCAACGTTTATCTTCATGCTCACCAGAAGTCTTCTTAAAGTAGCTCTTACTTAACAAAATATGTAGATGTTTAACAGTTCCATATCATATCTGAAAGATTAAATCTGTTTTAAAAAAAAACCAACACATTTTCCTCCCTTCTTCATATATCCCTTTTCTACACTCCAGTTTCATTCATTTTGCATCCGTTTATTAAACACCTGCACGCCACACTCAGCACTCTGGGAGCTGACAGACTAGTCGGCAAGGGAGACAAAAAAGAACAAGTACAGTGAGACCAGTAACACAAAAGTACAGAAGCAGGATGCCCAGGGTTCCATATATCTGGTTGTGTTTGAAGTTCCCAAAGCAGCATTTAAAGAGGAAGACTCATTTCAGGGGAATCTCAGAGGAAGAGAATTTGGATACAAAGTAAACAACAGAACAGCAGTCTGGGGCGGCGGGGGGGGGGTGCGGGGAGGGAGGGCGGGGACTATTGGGCCAGTTTACAAAGATGTGGAAAAACAGATCGAGGAGATAGCAGGGATGTTTGATTTAGCTGGAAACAGAAGCAGCAAAAGAAACAGGCTAGGAAACAAACAAGGGCAAAGAAGGATGTTTTATCCTAGGTTAAGGTTTTTTTGATTTAGGATTTCATTTAGTAGTGAGTGATGAGACATAGAAGGATTTAAGGCAAAAACATGTCAAGATCAGGTTTGCAATTGAGAGACAGGCAAGTATGTTTGCCATTATTGTCTTGTTCTATTATTTTTCTTCTTCTTCTAGTTTTTTGCCCAGCTTTTGAAAAAATGATTGTCTTAGACATCAGCTATTTAAACCCATATTTCAGTCTAGAAGAAGGTAAAGCGAAAAAAAAATTATTATCAAAGGTGATAGAAATGATCAGGCTTACCAAATCCTTGGAGTGCTCCCCCTAGCATTTGGGCATCCATTATGGGATCGAAATTGGGAGCCGGGAAGATGGTTCCTTGCACCTGGTGGGAAGAGTTCATGAGAGACATTGCAGCCATTTGCCAAAAGATTTGAATGTTTCTTCACATAAATGAAAACAAAAGTATATTCTATATGTTTAAATTACTCTGAGATATACACGTACATCTATAAAATATGGCTTAGGTAATATAGTTAATAATATTGTAATAACTATGTATGGTGCTGGGTGAGCACTAGAAATATCAAAGGAACCACTTTGTAAAGTGTATGACTGTATGTACTTTATCAAGTATATATATAACCACTATGCTGTATAGCTGAAACTAATACAAGATAATATTGAATGTAAGTTGCAATTGAAAATTTAAAAAATCCTTTTAGAAAAAAAGTGTTAATTGTATTTTAATTGCAGAGAGCAAATTTGGTTGAATTTTTAAAATCCATTGGCTTCTACTGGCATCTAGAACCCATTGGTGCTAGATATTGACATCTATTATTAATATAGGAAAGTTAGATACTAAAACTAATAGGAAAATGTGAGAATCAGATAAATACATAGCTTCTTTAAAAAACAGGCATTTTAGGAATTGGTAACTTTTATAGAAACTGAAAAGAACTATATTGGGGAATTCATGTCATGTATATGAATTATAAGTAGCACTTGCCACCACAGCTTTTTTATACATTGGGGATCCTAAAATAGTGGAGAAAATTGAAATGTTCGAATTTAGATTATGTGACTCATAAAAATATAGATGATGCAGATAGGGTAGAGAATTTTTAGCTGAAGCTTTCAAGCTGCAGAGGAAAACATGGAAACCTGACAGACATTCCATTTACATTCTGTCTCTTGCCAATAATCAAATGCAGAACATTTAAGTTAGGCTTTGAAACCACATGGTCTATTATTTCAGACAGAGCCAGTCAGTACTGGGCACCATATGACCACACTCAGCAGCAGAGAACTGTCAATCAACATTTATTAAAGAAGGGGAGCTCTCCCCCTCTTTGTTGTCGACGTGCCCAGAAACATTGGGAAACATGTCTTTCCTCAGCAAACAGATCTACCAAGCCTTGAGAACTCAGGCATTCCCTGAGCTCTTCTGCAGCAGTAACAGCTGAAGATGGAGCCTTTTGGTGCCCAGTGTCTAGTGGTAGAAAATGAATTAATTAATGAGGAGAAGACTGGACCGTAATTTGTAGTCCAAGAAATATGCCAGTATGAAAATATTTATGAAAAGCTTTTTGGAGGGGTAAGAATATTGTTCACTTGAGTTAAAACTAAGAATTATATTCAGTTTGAATTCCTTTTGACTCAGGAATCTATCTGAAGTAGACTGAAAACCTTATATTAATCATGATATGGCCATATTTCCATAATTAAAAGTACAGCCTTGTTAGTGAAATACTGTTCTAAAATGCCTATGTGGGCAGACATATGTAATTAAAATAAGGACATAGTTTTCACCTTATTTTGCTATAGTGCATGAATGTACAAACTAAAATCCACTTTACTTCTGATACCTCAAGTTTATTGGAGATGATGTAGAAATGAAGTTCTTGTGAGCCAATCCTCAATTCTAAAGCTATTATATTTTGAGACAACATGAGTTTCATCTCCCTTATTTGCTAACCTGTCCCACTGGGTGAGACTCTATTAGGAAAACAGACTTTGATTCTTCTTTCATTTGGATAAAATCAGTTGGATAGCTGAACGTAATGTAAATTCCTAGGTTGAGTTCCTCTCACCTCAAGGGTTTCCTTTTGCATCTTATAACCCTAGAGGAATTTAAGATATAAACTTTTAAAAGAACAACCATACCATTAAATATGAAAAATGATTTTACTTTCTGCTGTTTGTCATTGCCTTCTACTATCCTTTGTGTCTATGTAGGTCTTTCTTAGTTTTTTTTTCTCCCCAGTGGGGAAATTAAGAGTCTTTTTGAGGCATGGAAAAGGGGTACTTTATTTTCCCTCTTTTAGGGGTTAGAAGACTTGTTTGGACAAGTTTTGTGTGGACAGTATTATTGATTGACTTGGTGATGTTAATCTTTCTGAGTGCCATCAGCCAAAGGAATGTTTTAAAGTATAAAAGAGAAAATGTATTTGAAGCAGTAAGACATACTGTTAAATATGTGTAAGTTACCTATGCAATTTTTAGCAGAGCGCACAAATATTCACCACAAAACATTTCATTACTGGCCAGACTAGGATCTCCCAGAGTTTCTACTAGAGTAAATGCTATAAAATGAAAAAATATATATATATAAAGCTTTTAAAGTTATACATAAGGAGAGTTAGAAATACCTGCAGTAATTTTTCCAGACAGTCTATGGGCAAAAGGAAGAAGTCCTTCATTTTTCATTCATGTTTTTTTAAATCCTTGTACATATTACAGTCTTTTACAGTATAATGTAAAAATTGTCTTATTTTTTATAGTTCTCATTTCCTTTGCCATTTAAAATTGTTATCTCCTTGTCATTTGTCCTTAAAGTAAAATACTAAAAATGTTTTGGAAATAAATTCAACACTAAAAGATAAAAAATTGTGAATGCTTTGTAACTCACAAAGCACAAATTTTCTAGTAAGCATTTGCCATTCTTGCCCATTTATATAGCATATTAAATCATTTTATTCATTTTTATGCCAATTATTATGCTTTAATTAAGCTCATCAGTGACATTATTTCATGTAAAGTACATATGTTCCTTTTACATATTTTGTCATTGACATAGTGAATTGTCTTTTAATGACCATATTTGCAGCTATATTAAGATATAATTGATATGTAACATTATGTAAGTAATATATAACATTATGTAAGTAAGGGAATACAATGTGATGATATGCGTATATATTGTGAATAATCACCGCTATAAAGTTAGGTAACACATCCATCATCTCACAGTTTCCCTTTTATTTTTCTGATGAAGACATTCAAGATCTACTCTTGTAGCAATTTTTAAGTATGCTGTACAATATAGTATTGTTAACTGTAGTCACCAGGCTGTATGTTAGAGCCTGGTGATTACGTACAGCCTGGTGTAGACTTACCTTGTGACTTGTACCCTTTGATCAATGCCTTTCAAGCACCACAGTCAGCCCCAGGCAACCACCAGTCTTTCAATGATCATTAATTGCTTTGGGCCATAAATCTTTTTGTTTTTTTGAATGACTACAGTATACCTAGAGGTATATATTCATCTACTTTAAGGTAATTTGATCTCCTTTGTATTAATTTTTTTCCAGAATTTGTGCTCAATCATATTCTATGCATTTCTTAGTACCACTCTTTCAGATGAAGTCAATCTATACTAAGCGTTTTGCTAACTTCTTAGCACTCACTGCATTTTTATTTACAATTAGTTCCTTAGGTTTTCTTATTTGCTACCTGTTCTTAAACTTGGGAATTTGACTATGCCGTATATAGTATTGTTTTGCAATACATTGCTGTGGCTTCATTTCTTATTCTTCTAATTATATTTATGTGCCTTTTCTGCAGAAGATATATCAAATCTATACCATGATTTTCTGTATAGTGAGACCTTTTTCTAAAATGTTCTCATTTACAGGTGATGTCACTTAAATGATTTATTTAAAAAGTTTTTAAATGAGATTTTTGGCTGAATGACTTCCTGGCTTTATACATAATTAACACAAAACTTTTTTTTTTTTTTACAAATGCAGAGCATACATGATTTAATCAGATTCTTTTAATCATTGTATTTCTTATTTCATATTAATGAAACTGAACAGAGACAAATAAGAATTAGCCAGGAGAAGAGGGTGTAGTGGGAGGAGACAGTCCTAGCGGGCAGGGCAACATTTCCCCAACCATGTGTCAGTGAATAAGTAAGGAATAGGACTGCAGTCAGGCTGGGCATTGACTCCTGTGAGAGGCATCAGATAGAGCTGAGGTGTGGCACAGACATGATTGCTAAGGGGTTTCTAAGTTTTTAAGGAAGAAAATGAAATAATCTTATTTGAGTTCAAGTAGTAACACCCTATAGCAATGTAAAGGATGAAATGAGAATGCTGCTTTAGGTTGTGGGTGGTTAATTTGAAACCTAGGTGAAATATAAAGCACATTTGAATTGAAGCACATAGCATTTTTTTAAATAAATACAAATTGCTGAGTTAACTGAATGTGATTTAACTTACTGATTTTTTAGGTATATTATAAATTAACCCAGTAACTTTGGTTTAACCTCTTGAAAGAGTCACAGGCTGTGATTTCAGGTGTTTTTCAGCATATATACCTTTTCCCCTCCTCACCCAAGGATATTTATTAATTTTGACAGAGAGAGAGATAAATAGATATTGATTATTTTGGGGGAGAGAAACACTGATGTGAGAGAGAAACATCGATCAGTTGCCTCCCATATGTGCCCTGACCAGGGATCGAACCTGCGTCCTAGGTGTGTGCCCTAACCGGAAATCGAACTAGCAACCTGTTGCTGTACAGGATGATGCTTCAACCAACTGAGCCACCCAGCCAGGGTGCATATATACCTTTTAAGCAATGCCATTTTTAATATACATCTACCTAATTTTTTTCATGTCGTAGAGAAGATAGGAAATTTTGAAAGAGTGAACACTTTCCAATTTGACATGAAAAATAATATGTATATGGTAAAAGTATTTTATTTTTCTTGCTTTGAAAATTGACAGATTCAGAAATAGTATCACTTATATAAAGCAAAATAAATTCTGATGTCTGTCATTTCAATTTGAATTCTTACCACAAGGTAATCAAAATATAATCTTTGCTTTTACTCATGTGTAAATTTAGGTTTTGACAGAGGAATGAAAAATACTGCCTTTTGAAAGACAAAATAAACTGCTTCATAATCGCACGATGCAGAAGAGCATGAGTAATTTGTAGATATAAAGTTGGTTCTAGAATCTATCCCCTGAGTAAATAATGAATTAATTTCTTTAACTGACAGAAAAATGTGAAAATTTTTCTCTGAAACTGAATACAGACTGAAAATAAGCATATATATTTTTCTCATGAAGTAGATAAAATTATTTTCATCAT